AATTTTCTATTTAATCCCAAATATTGTACATGCTCATCCCGAGTATTTTATAGCTGAACTTTAATATTTTCTAGTTCATCCCCAGTATTTTATTGTTCAATTTTGATTTATTCAACTCTTCCCCAGTATTTTATAGCTAAATTTAAATATTTTCTAGCGTGTCCCAAGTATTTTACAGCTCAACTTTAATATTCTCTAGCTCGTCCCCAGTATTTTAAAGCTTAACTTTAATTTTTTCTAGCTATTCCTCAAAATTTTCTATTTAATCCCAAATATTTTGCATGCTCTTCCCCAGTATTTTATAGCTCAACCTAAATATTTTCTTACTCGTCCCCAGTATTTTATAGCTCAACTATGATATTTTCTACCTCGTTCACAATATTTTATAGCTATCCCCAAATATTTTATAGCTCAACTTTGATATTTCTACCTCATCCGTAGTATTTAATACCTCAACTTTAATATTTTCTAGCTGATCTCAGTATTGTTTAGCTAAACTTAAAATTTTTCTAGCTCATCCCCAATATTCTTTAGATCAACTTAATATTTTCTAGCTTGTCCGCACTAATTTATAGCTCAAACTTAATATGTTTTAACTCTTACCCAGCATTTTATAGCTCAACTTTAATATTTTCTGGGTTGTCCCCAGTAGATAATAGCTCAACGTTAATATTTTATAAGCTCATCAACAGTATTTTATAGCTAAACTATAATATTTTATAAGCTCATCAACAGTATTTTATAGCTAAACTTTAATATTTCATAAGCTCATCAACGTATTTTACAGCTAAACTATAATATTTTCTAGCTCATCAACAGTATTTTATAGCTAAACTATAATATTTTCTAGCTCATCAACAGTATTTTATAGCTAAACTATAATATTTTCTAGCTCATCAGCAGTATTTTATAGCGAAACTATAATATTTTCTAGCTCATCCCAACAATTTTATAGCTCAAATTTAATGTTTTCTAGCTCGTACCCAGTATTTTACAGCTCAACTTTAATACTTTTTAGCTGATCCCCAGTATTTTATAGCTAAGCTTTAATATTTTCTAGCTCATATCCAGTATTTTATAGCTCAACTTTAATATTTGTTAGCTCGTCCCCAGTATTTTATTGCTCAAATTTGATATATTCAACTCTTCCACAGTGTTTTATAGCTCAATTTTAATATTTTCTAGCTCATCCATAGTATTTTATAGCTCAACTTTAATATTTTCTAGATCTAGCTCGTTCCCAATATTTTCTCTCTCAATTTTAATATTTTCTAGCTCTTCCCGACTATTTTATAGCTCAACTTTCATATTTTGTAACTCATCCCCGATATTTTATAGTTCAATTTTACTATTTTCTAGCTCGTCCCCACATTTTTCTATTTAATTGCGAATATTTTACATGTTCATCCCCAGTATTTTATAGCTCAAGTTTAATATTTTGTGTCTCATCCTCAGTATTTTCTAGCTCAACTTTAATATTTTGTAGCTCATCTCCAGTATTTTTTTGCTGAACTTTAATATTTTCTAGCTCATCCCCAGTATTTTATAGCTCAACTTTAATATTTTCTAGCTCGTCCCCAGTATTGTATTGCTCAAATTTGATAAATTTAACTCTTCCCAAGTATTTAATTTCCCAAATTTAATATTTTCTATTTGTTCCCCACAATTTTCAATATAATCCTCAGTATTATACTAATACTAGGTCATCCCCAGTATTTTATAACTCAACTTTAATATTTTTTAAAACTCGTCCCCAGTATTTTATAGCTCAACTTTAATATTTTCTAGCTCATTCCCAGTATTTTATAGCTTAACTTTAATATTTTCTAGCTTGTCCCCAGTATTTTATTGCTCAACTTTGATATATTCAACTTTTCCCCACTATTTTATAGCTCAACTTTAATATTTTCTAGCTTGTCCGCAGTATTTTATAGCTGAAATTTAATATTTTCTAACTATGCCTCAGTAATTCATAGCTGAAATTTAATATTTTTTAACTAAGCCTCAGCATTTTATAGCTCAACTTTAATATTTTCTAACTGCTGCCTTGTATCTTATAGCTCAACTTCAATGTTTTCTAGCTCATCCCCAATATTTTACAGCTCAACTTTAATATTTTATATCTCATACCCAATATTTTATAGATCAACTTAATATTTTCTACCTCGTCCGCACTAATTTATAGCTCAAATTTAATATTTTCTTAGCTCATTTCAAGTATTTTATAGCTCAACTTTAGTATTTTCTAGCTTATACCGAGTATCTTATAGCTCAACTTTTATACTTTCTAGCCCATCCCCAGTATTTTATAGCTCAACTATAATATTTTTTAGCTCGTCCCCACAATTTTCTATACAATCCCCAGTATTTTACTAGCTCGTCCCCAGTATTTTACTAGCTCGTCCGCTCGTCCCCAGTATTTTACTAGCTCGTCCCCAGTATTTTACTAGCTCGTCCCCAGTATTTTATAGCTCAATTTTAATATTTTCTAGTTCATACCGAGTATTTTATAGCTCAACTTTGATATTTTCTAGCTGCTGCGTTAATTGTATCTTATAGCTGAACTTTAATATTTTCTAGCTCGTTCCCAATATTTTCTAGCTCGTCCACAGTATTTTATTACTCAACTTTGATATATTCAACTCTTCCCCAGTATTTTATAGCTCAACTTTAATATTTTCTAGCTCAACCATAGTATTTTATAGCTCAACGTTGGAATTTTCTATCTCGTCCCCGGTATTTTATAGCTAAACTTTAATATTTTCTAGCTCGTCCCCACAATTTTCTCTATAATCCCCAGTATTTCATTAGCTCATCCCCAGTATTTTATAGCTCAAATTTAATTATTTTTTAAAAAATCTCATACCAGTATTTTATAGCTCAACTTTAATATTTTTTATCTCATCCCCAGCATTTTATAGATCAACCTAATATTTTTTAGCTCATCCCCACTATTTTTTAGCTAAATTTCAATAATCTTTAGCTGATTCCCAGAATTTTATACCTTAACTTAAATATTTTTTAGTTCGTCCCTAGTATTTTATAGCCCAACTTTAAACTTTTCTAGCTTGTCCCCAGTCAGTTGCTGTGTTGTGTTCTGTGCTGTAGTTGTTGATCTTTGGGCCAGGCTGCTGTCACGTCTGCTCGTTTCGTCCTTTGACCTGTTCTCTTTTCCTTGCGGCTGTTGTGTCGTCCTTTGACCTGTTCTCTTTTCCTTGCGGCTGTTGTGTCGTCCTTTGACCAGTTCTCTTTTTCTTGCGGCTGTTGTGTCGTCCTTTGACCAGTTCTCTTTTCCTTGCGGCTGTTGTGTCGTCCTTTGACCAGTTCTCTTTTCCTTGTGGCTCTTGTCTCCCTGGTTCTCCTTGAAGGTTTTTTCCCCGCCAGATTTGAACTCCTTGACGTTTGACTCCCAGGCTCGGCTTCCTAACTGACCCAATTTGTGTGTAAAACACCTACAGTAACAAAAAGCCACCCCCCCAAAAAAACAACAACAAACAACAACCCCCAAACAACAAAACAACGAAACCGACAAAAAACCTGCTCTCTCTTTCCCGACCCTAATTTCACCTTGACCCCTCGACTATTTATTGTAATGAGAGTTTACCTCCCCCCCTCCCCAGTTACTGCTACTCTTTGGCTCCTTCTTACTTCTGCCTTTCAGCCACACCCCTGGTCTTATGGCAAGTAAGATCTTACGTCTAACCTTCTCAGACAAGGGCGAAAAATCTTGTAGGTCCTGTGAACAAGTTATTAACATTAAAGATCATTTGGTGGTCCAAAATCGATATGAGTCACTCGGGCAAATTTAAAAATTAATTTCTACCAAACTGAAAATGTTTAAATGTGTCCTTCATGCTCATATGACCTCATGCAGTTGCAAACGCTGTAAAACACTTACCAAGATGGCATATTCAACAAGTCAGTTCTATCACAACATGGGGACATTCTAGAACTTTCCCGGAAAGAATTTACAGGAAAGATAATAAAAAAAAAAATGAAAATAATTTTTTTTAAATTCACATTTTTAAAGATGAAACTGACTTTATTTCTACTTGATATTTAAAGAACATTCAATTCTACAAACACACTGAAATTGTAAGTAATGTCATCCCAATCTGTAGAGCTATGGCGGTATAAGTAGAGTGACCTAGAGAGGTTAACATTGGACACAGAAAAAACCAGTTTATAGAAACATCTGAAGGTTCTTACGATTCATGTCATTTTTGTAGGAAAATCATGAATAAGGAGATGGTTCATTTTAGACACAGACAGCTAAAGACCAACATCTTATTTTCATATATTATATGTATAATCTACTTAGGACATTTCTGTAAATAATAAAAAAGTGATTAAAAAAAATCTTATACAATTCACCAAAGTGATATTAAGGTTTCAGAGACAGGCAAAGAGTTTTACTTGGATATACACGTATATATATAATATATATATA